TTGTTTTAAAGATTATCATACTCTGAAAGTGTTCTGAATTATGTATTTGGTCATATTTTCAAAAATAAACATTGATTTGAAATTATAAATATTTTTAGTTTTTAAAAAAAATCCCGGACTCAAAGGGTTAAACATCTTATCATTATCTAAAACTCTCATGAAATTTAGTTGACTATGTCAACAATTATTTAAATCTTATACCTTCATCAACTGATACATCACCAAATCCAATTCCTTTTAAATTATCAATTTGTTTCGGTGGCAAATAAAAATAACAAGAACCATTATAGAAAAAACTACTCGGTGGACAAGCTAAAATTAAATAAATTAATATTCTAAATAATAAATGAAAATATATTTACTAATACTAAGATCATCAAGTTTTTTCATAACATCAGTAATAGCTTGTTTAAATCCTAGAAAATAAAATCTTTTTATATAACAACTTTCAATAATACATATACAACAAAGACATACGTATGCCCAATTCTCTTTTGTCTTGTTCAATATTGAACATACGAGATGCTTCAGCATGATAATGTTTAAAATGACAGTGAAATAAACAAAGAACGAGGAAAATACTTGTCAACATAGCTAACCTAAAAGAATAAATTTCATAATCAATATTCAATATGACGAAAATTCGGAAAACAAAAAAAAACAAAGAAATAGACAAAATAAACAATTAAATGCCTAAACTATTTTTCTTTCGAAAAAAAAAAAAAAAAGATAATAAATTCTAATGATGTGTGGATTGTTTATATTATTTGACAGAATTGACTGATGAACAGAGAAAAACAAAAGATAAAACTTTCAGAGAAAAAAAAACTAATATTTTCAATCAATTTATTCAATTTACTTACTTCCAATATGTTTATCATAATCAAACAAATACATACTGAGTCTATATTTACATAAGAATATCTATGGTCAAGGTGGTAAAATGCTAATTATCATCAATAGCATCATAATACAAACCTAATCCAATAGAAGTGTTGTTGTTGATGTTGGTTAAAAAGAAAAATAACGTAACTATTCTTCATCTCCATATAAAAAACATACAAAAATGATACTCAAGTGTATTTAAATAGTGTATATATCTTTTTCTCTCTCTGTGTGTCTCTTTCTCCTATTGTCTTTCTCTTGAGATGCAATAAATTTATATTGAAACGAAGGTGATCATTAAACAACGACATTCAACACACGTCGACTAATTTACTCTATACGACTCATCTATCATCTGATTGTCCAAGTCAATTAACTTACGAAGGGTGAAAAACTCTCTCTCTCATACTTAATTATTAACTAGAGACAGACGACAGTTCAACCCTATAATAACGCGTTTCGATGACAAGTAATGTCCAACAAAAATAAATCAGATAAATGACAATAGTTTTAATTGGCTTGAGGAATGCCGCGAAGGGTTAAAAGTCATGTAAAAAAAAAAAAAAAAATTTATAAATATGAAAATGATCTTATTCAGTAGATTTCTTGTGTAAAATAGAACAAAAGCTATGCATGCATATATGAAAATTGATCTTTATATGAATAAGAGAGTTGTCAGCCAAGGTAACTCAATTGATATTTTTTTTTTCTTTTGTTCAATTTGATTCCTTGCGTCCTCGTCAATGTCCACGGAAAGATCAAATTATTTTTATATTTTAAAATAAGCTAGAGAGAAAAAAAAAGAATTCTATATTTCATACACTTGCCTATATAAACAGAATATACAATATGTAAGTAAGAAAAAGAAAAAGATATGTGGAATGGAGATGCCGGGCATCGATCCCGGTGCCTCTCGCATGCAAAGCGAGCGCTCTACCGAGTGAGCTACATCCCCGTGCTTCTTCTCAATAAGATGTCTCTATACGAGAATCAAGATGATCATATATATGTATAACATATGTGTAATCATGATGAAGACAAAAATTATAATTAATTTGTATTAATGAAAATATTATATAAGTTTACATTGGGCGGCACATAGAACACAGTAGGAATCTGTCGATCAACAGACAAACATATGGATGATATTGACTATGAATATAAATAATATGTCTACAGGGCAATACACTTACTAGATATTAGATTATCTTTGATCTTAAGATCTTAGTAAAATGATTGAATATACGACAAGTGTAAATGAGTTTTATTGAGAAAGAAAACTTACATGTTCATTTCGTATTATGATGTTTGATTTTATTGTTGAAAATTAATAAAAATTAGACGTGCATGATCAAATTAATTGTAATAATGCAAGAGTATACAATGGCAGAAAATAAATGAGTCAAGTGGTGCATACCAAGACGTGTGTATATGTTATGTCTTGTACATTCTCTCTTATTTGTTTCGCTTCTTTCTTTCTTCTTCGTCTTCTTTTTTTTTTTTTTTTTTTATTAGAGACAATGCTTTTGTCCGTTTTTCTTTGCTCTCTCTCGGTATTCTCTCTTCTGTTCTTTCGTTTTTTTTCTCTTCTCTGGTCACTTTTGATGGCTCTATTTGTTTGATGAAAAAAAAACAAGTCAATATCGAATATAATTGAAATGACAAATATTTTGCATTTCTTTGAAGTTATTCATCGGAAATAAAAAAAACAAAAAAATAAGAAATTGCCACAAGATATTTTGTACATGGATTTTGATTTATATATGTTCGCAAACATATGAGACCTTGTCGTTGACACCTATTTAGCAAATATTATGTTTGATATGATTTGTATCTTGAGTGGTTTCACTTAACACATACATATATTCTCTCATGATGATTGATTGTCATCTTAGCTTCTACTGTCTAGTCCACCTTCTCACTATGTCTCGCATCACAGCAAGTGCCTTGACTTATGTGAAATTGAATTCTTAAATGAATACATATTATCATGATTGTAATGTATTTATCTTCTTGTTAGAAAAAACAGGTGGTTTATATAAAGATTTTTGACTAATTGAATACACAAATCATCGAATATGACAGAAGAAATTCTTATGTAAATTAGCTAAAGTAATTTGTATGGAATATATATATATATATGCCTTTTGTTCAACCTTCGCGTCCTGTTATACTTGTAATTGATTGTTCAGTATAAGAGACTAGTGATCCGCAATGAACGAAAGAGAAGAAATGATTATTTTCACACTTCATTGTTTTTATATCATTCAATAGAATCTGTTTATAATTGATTGTGTTGTAAAAAGAAAAAAACAGAAAGAAAAAAGTCTACGTTTTTAACTTGACTTTATATGAAAGTTATAATTGAACAGTGAATGTTTCAATCAATTGTACTTTTCACTACGTAAGAAATCAATTGTTTTTTGAAAATATTCTGCAAAATTTCTATCACTTTATGAATATTATTCTTTCATAATTTCATAATGGTTAAGTTGATCTTTCTTTTTTTCCGAATTGTTTTTATAAAGTTAGATGCAGAAAGTATTCACAAGCATGTTATATATCAATTTTGTATTTTGCAGTTATACACTAGAACATCTGAAATAAAATATATGATAAGTGAAAAATACAGTTATATCAATTGTTATCCTATTTTGTAATTGAGGTAATCTCTCTTCTACCTTAAAAACTGATCTTCAGGTAGATGTATTCAAATTGCATGAAACTCTCATGACAAAGTGGGACTCTAGTAAAAAAGGCTTTAACTCAAAACTCTCGGTGGAAAGACTCTAAAAAAAATGGCTTTCCAATGGTAAAGTACTCGTTTATGTAATAGTTACAATGCTTAATTTAAAAAAAGAGATTTTTTTCATGCCTTGTATCTTGAGATACTTTTTCAAACAGAAAAAAAAACAATTAAATATATGGAATGAAGATATCAAGAAAAAATTAGATGATTTTTTGAATTTTCATTACATTGCTAGAGTTTTCAAGAGGGAAGATATAGAAGGTAATCGAGGTATACACGTGATAGAGGTATACGAAATATAGGAAGTATATGAGGTAATGAAGATATACAAGGTCAGTGATGCATAGAAAATATAAAAGGTAATGAAGGTATAGGAGCTATGCGATCTGTACAAGGTATAGGAAGTACAAAAGTTAATGGAGATGTATGAGGTAAGAGGGCTATGGGAAGTATAGGAAGTATACGAGGTAATAAATGTAATGAATATGCGCAAGGTCAGTGAAGTATAGGAAATATAAAAGGTAATGAAATGCATAGGAGCTATACGATCTATATGACATATAGAAAGTACAAAAGGTAATGGAGGTGTATGAGGTAAGAGGGGTATGGGAAGTATACAAGGTCAGTGAGGTATAGGAAATATAAAAAGTAATGAACGTATAGGAGGTACAGAAGTGATATCGTGCATACCAGGTATAGGAAGTACAAAAAGTAATAGAGGTATACGAGGTAATAGATGTATAGAAGTTAATGGAGATATACAAGGTATGAGAGGTATAGGAAGTATAGAAAATGTAGGAAGTATAGGAAGTATACAAGGTAATGGAGGTTATGTAGGTATACGAGGCAATGGTGATATACAAGGTAAGAGAGGTATAGAAAGTATAAAAGGTAATGTAGGTATAGGAGATATACGATGTAATTAAGGTATACGAGCTATCGGAGGTATAGAAGGTAATGGAGATAATGGACATATAGAATATATGGGAGGTAATGAAGGTGTACGACGTATGGTAGGTACTGAATTGCTTATCATTCTCACTTAGAGAGATGCCCTCAGAATGTATGAAGATCGATATGTCAAGATTCCACGACGTTTTCATGGAATTGTATTGTTAAGTTTTTTGGAAAAAGTTTAGTGATGTATGATACGTTTGTTTAACATTTGTTTTTTTTTTGGATAGCTTGAATATGCATTTGAACAGATAGAAAACTTGAGTACTATTTCTACGCTCTGACCATGTAAATTAACTCCTTTGTTAGGATTGTATCGTATATATCAATTAGAAGAAACTGTAACGCCATTCAGGAAACTCATATAAAGCATTATATGAAGAATTAAATCGTTTATGAAAGCTTTGAGAGAAGAATTTTAGTCAGATAATGAAATGACTTTGACGGTAAATATACAGTGGTGTTCAAAATTATTCTTGTAATCAATTAATAACTGTTCATTTTCAATATCTCTCCTCTAGTTCAAGATATTGAGCTACGATTTTCACCAAAATACAGCTTAGTACTTAGGCTATCTATACAAAAAAAATAATTAAGTCGATAGACTAGAACTTGATGATACAAAAATAATAGTACGATAATCATAAAATCTTGATTTGGCTCAAAATTATTCATGTAATTGATTTCTCACGAGAGAAACTGTTTAAGTTCTAATAATAGATAAGAAATCAAATTACTTTCGTGTACGATCTTTAAAGTTTGATTTTTGTCCTTATGTTGAACTCTAATACTTATAGTTTTCTCATTTTCTTCTCATATATATCAAATTTGAAAGTTGAATTTCCAGTATTCAACTATTGAGCGGAGACATTCACGTTTTCGTGGAAATATACACCAAGGTATCTCACTCGTTTAGGATACCACGAAAGTACACAAACAATTAGTTACTTTTGGAATTTCAGAAAAATTGAATACTAGCAATTCAACTTTCAACTTTGACATACGTATGCAAAATTAACAATTGTCACTTGAGCATCGGATACTTGAAGTCTTTCAATGTAACAAAGATTTGTCGATTAAAAATATTGAATAGACATTGACACTCCATATTAGATTGAGTCATGGTTAATGAGGAAAATTTTTGGTTACAATGATGATAAAATACGTCTAGTTATCAGATATAAACCTGTATGATGATATGAACATCAATTTTATAACATATAATTATGAGAGTAAAGCCGTGTTAAATCTGTAAGGCTTTCGCACGAAAAAAAAACTCGCAGTCTTGATAAATTAACAAAACACATACATGACTGTGGCGAAATACACGAAAAAAATTGCATTTCTGATGATGAATCAAACATAAAGACTAATGTATTCTAAGTTCATTGGTTATAGGCAACATTTTAATGAAGTAAATGCAATTAATTTGAATAAAGTGTCCGTTTTAATCAATGAATCTGAAATACATCTCTCTTTCCATCCTTTTCCCAAGGGAGAAAAACCGACACTTCAGTACTCTGAAATACGAAATTCACTCGTACTTCGAAGTACTAAAGTCTCGTTTTTTCCTTAGTTTTTCACTATCTTAATGCAAGTATTTTTTTTTAATGCTTCAAGTCCCTACATAGATTCTCGTATTAATAAGATGCAATGATTATAGTCGAATTTTGCTTAAAGAACTCATTAATACATTGTTAAACTGATATGTGACTTTTTATTTAACAATTTACTTCTTTTTAATGTTGACTGTATTTATTATTATAAAGACTATAAAAATAAAAAGAAAAGAAAATTATAATTTTAAGAATCAGACGTATTCTTTAGATATTAATCTTTACTAAACAACCTTCATTATAGGGGTGCAGTTGATACCTGATAATTACTTCTGTTTGATTATAGATCTTGTCAACACGTTTCTTTTCTTTTTTTTTTTATTTATAGTTCATAAATGAATTTTATGTATGAAAACAGAATTAGTGACTTAAATAGATTTTAGATTTCAGTAATGAATTGAACAATTTTAATTTGGTCACAAAAAGTAATAACAATTTGAACTATCAGACGAGGGAACATTTTAAACTGATCAATTGCTTTCTCACCGAAAGCTAGTAAGCTGTAGACTATCAACCATAGGAAATCACCTGAATTTTTCATATACTAATTTTCTAGACTATCTAAATTTTTGACGAAAGTTTTTGTTATCTGTACAGTTTATAAAGCATATTGAATTGTCTAGAAAATTTATATCATTGCTTTTCATTTTGCATAAAATACAGCCATTTATATTTACACAATAGATACACTGAAAAACAAAAAATAGGTGATGTAAAAAGTAGTCGAAAAATTTTTTAATAAAAACTTGAACTGAGACGAATAAGCTAAAATAACAAAAAAAAGCTGTTAGCGCAATCCCTTGCGGGATTAAAAATGTGAAACACGATGGCTCTATTATTACTAATTAAATGGAAATCCTTTTCTTCCATTACGTTGCGATACATTTGTAGCTAACCGTTAATCTGATGCTTTACAACTACAGTTTCTCTGTCACGGTCTGTGATGGGTACCTGAATTCTCTGTCACAGTCTGCGATGGGTACCGGGGTTCTCTGTCACGGTCTGTGATGGGTACCTGGATTCTCTGTCACGATTTATGATGGGGGAATTACCTGTCTGTAACGGTCTGTGGGTGGGGGGGGGGGGTCCAAATTTCTACCCCTAAACACTTCAACACTCCTTTCAGATCGTGTTTCACAAAATAGACGGAAGATGTTATTAGCAAATTTTCAATTACTACAAACGATTGTATGACTTAAAATTTTCAAACCTACAGATTCTTCTGAAGTTATATCGAAATCACGATGGTGTGTGAGAATGTAAGAAGAATCACATCTACACCACTAAAAATAAATGTCCTCAAAAATGGTCGATGTCAACTTTACTTTTATATGGTACTACCGCAAAAATTAGAAGGACGAATTGTCGATAATTTATGAGCTGATATTCTTTTTTTCTTACAACTCAAAGCTTTTATTAGAACAAACTTTTGTTCTTTTATTTTATAAATTTCTCGAGCAATTTTCATCGATTCCACTTACACTTATATCAACATTTCAATGTGATAGTCATAAATATGATATTATTTTAGTTAAAACTCATTTTTGGAAAACATAAAAGATTATTATCTTTTTGTTAGTTGAGAAAATCAGCATATAAAAGACCTAGGAGAACTTCTTATGATCATGTTCGGAATCATTATAGTTGATAGTCTACAATCTACTAGCTTTCGGCGAGAAAGCGATTGATCAATTGAAAATATTCTCTTGCGAAATATTTCTGTGTCAATAGATGTTTGTCTTTGAATTGTAAGAATAAGACATAATTTTTTTGTTTTTTGTTGAAAAACTTGAAATAAATATTCTCTCATATTGTTTCACTTTTTCATCAAAACTAAAAATTCATTTGGTTTATTGTTCTTTTTTGTTTTCACAAATTTTCTACTGAATTGTCAATGAAACTTCTATCATCTGTGTTAAAAAAATGTTGATTTCAATCTGTCATCGAATATTATATTTAATGATTCTGTCGTTTTTCTCAATCGATTAATTTCTACTATGTAATGACTATTTTTCTTTTATGCTATAGTTACTAAATGACCAAACTCGTAAATTGATCGAAAATAATTAATGTGCCTGGCGACAACTTCTTGAATATGCTCACCAGTTGTAACAAGGCGAGCTTTGACCTAAAATTTGACATTTTGAGAAAAAAAAAAGAGTTAATCATCGATTGATATTATGAATAGTAATCGAGCTAATAATTGAGTTTTTCGTGACATAATAGTTTTATTTCGGCAATGTCTATTTATTTACTTCATTTCACGATTTAAAATGCAAAAACAAAAAAAAATACAAGAACAATTTGTATTTTAAAAACAACAAGTGCAGTATAATATATTCATCATGGTTATATCTATTGTCTGAAATTTGTAGAATCTTACTCATTGAAAAAAAAAACACTCAAAGAAAAAGAATTTTTATGAACAAAACTTCTTATTACCTGAACAAAAATGAAAAAGAAACATTTATATTATAAATGAGGTTTCTCATTAAAAGGATTATTTCTAGTCTTTTATGTTAGTTGTAAAAATGATTGTATTAATGAATCAATCTTATGTATATCATTATTCATGCGAATGATTGAATCAATTCCGTCAATTATAATTTGAAGATATAAATATTTTGTGATCATCCTTGTAAATAATATTATTGCATTTTGTTCACCACATTTCTCAAGCATATATAACCATAATAGTTCAGTATATGATGATTGAATCTGTTTTATATTATCTAACTGTTTGTATTGTGCTGCATCATATATAGATCTTGTTGTTAACGGATTAGTAGTAAAAAATAGAATAATCATTAATAACTTAATCATAATTGGATCATATGTGACAAAGTCAACAAAAGAATTTGATAATGATTGAAACATGTGATGTAAATTAATGTTATTAATACAACCAACGGTTTGAATATATGTACTACGAAACTTTGAACTAATAGGTGTTTTAAGTATAGCATAATTCAATGGTATTAAAAGACGAATATTTTGTTTAATTAATGATACTTGATCATCAACATGTAGAGTTTGTAATTCAGGTAAATGTTTAAAATAAGATATAAAATTAATAAAAATTGGTTTTTTACGATTAAAAAATTCATCTATACGTAAATAAAGAACTTCCGGTGTTGAACAATATGTTGATGAACTAGGTTCACCACTAAATTGATCATAACAATGTGTTACATTATTAATGTGTGTTCGATCTGTTGAACTTAATATCATTACAATACTTGAATTTCCAAGTGACATTAAAGCTGGAACCTATATTTATAAAGAGAAAAGTAAAAATAAAAACATAATAGAAATATGAATTTATTTGAAAGAAACCAACTTCGATTGTTTTCTCAGGACATCTACTGCGACGAGTTTTGTTTAATTGAAGACGTTTCATAAATTTTTCTTGTTCACTTCGTATCGATTCTTTTCTCATACCTTAATACAACAAAAACAAAAAAGTATATGAATTAATCTTATATTATTTATCATGATATATCTGTATTCTTATTTAAATGATATACAAAGTAAAAGTCCTATTAATTCAATTTGTTACATAAAACTTTCTACAGAATAAAAACTTATTAGCATATTTTTCTCAAATTTAAATTTATTTCTAGCAATTCCATACTCTTGCTTGATTTATGTGACCTTTGACGCGTTCTTCAAAGTACTTAACGTATGTGTCAGTCATGTGCCTCAGATAAAAATTAATATTTTTTTTTCCAAGTATATTTCTCATACGTACCCACAGCGAAACATTTTTTTATTCGACACGATGAACAATGTCGTCGAGTTTCTACTGTTATACTACAATTACCAGAAAATCGACAATGTAATTCATTCTAGAAAAAAAAAGCTAATACATAACGTTTAAAAAAACAAAAAAATATTTACCGTGTCTCTTAAAGCATTTCGTCGAAAAAAAGCTATGAAATAAAATTAAAAAAAAAAAAAATTTTTTTTCTTAATTTTTATTTTTTGAAATTATTTATATCACCTTTACAACTTCCACATGATATCTGATCAAAATTATATCCGAATGCTCTTCCATTACATACAACACAACGGAAATTATGTTTTGGTTTTTTTTTTTCACCATTTGTCATAAGTACATCATACTAAAATAAAAAAATAAAAATAAAAGATAAAAAAATAACATATTTTTCTCTCTTACTTTTTTAATCATATCTGGAATACTTAAATTAGGATCATCTAAATATTCGTCAATAGAATCTTCCATAAATTTTGAAAAATTTATTACAGAATATTTGTGATTTGATAGATGAAAATTATATTTATCCATCTGAAAAAAGAAAATCTTTCGATTATAAACAGTCTTCAATTGAAATCGATTTTTTATCGTTTCGATATGACGAGAAAAACGCGATGTTTTCAAAGTATCGTAGTCAAGGACGAACACCGACATGATAGCTGACTCATATATGAAGGAAAGCATTAGTTGTTCTTTTAACTATTCGTTTTTTTCTTACCTTCCCACTCACATCAAATAAAGCCAGATGTGAAGAAAAAAAAAATCTCGTTTTTTTTTTGTTAATATAATATTCAATGCATCCATCTTAGCATTTATTCTTTCCACAACACATGTCAAAAAGTAATGACAAAGCGCTTATGAAGGAAGAAAAAGAAAAAAAAAAGCATAAGCAAAGCTATACATGTAAAATAGGTTTTTAGGTCGAAAAAAAAGAAAGAAATATTCGTTTTATATGGATTCAGTTTTCCTTTATATATGAAAACAAAACAATATCAATAATGATCGAGTCTATTTTTCTTCTCGCATAAGTTAAAAAGACATTTTGCTTGTGTACTAATCATCACTCTGCTGCATGATCGGAAAAAAAAATAGGTCATGCCTTTGTCACGCCTTGTCATTCAAATTGCTATCTCATTTCATTAATATGAAATGCATTACTTTATATTCACTCTATGAAGTATCGATACATTTATTTATATTCATATTTGTTTTTTTATGGATGTATGGATGACTAAATATTTATATCGAGTAGATTATTATGATAATATAATCTCATGTATAGGAAAAAAAAACCAATGATCTAAGAGAAAAAAACAAGAATCGATTTTTTTGTAAGATATAACAAATGAATAGTTTAGTATTATAATTAAAAAGTATTTGCATTTTATTTTATTCCTCTTCTTGAGAAAAAATAAAAACATAATAAATATGATTAACCTCACTTTTCACAATATATATATTAATTGATCATTTTCATAATTATTCGTTTTATTATAAAATTCGGATCAATTGCCTATGTTTATTTATCTGACGAATATTTTATTTCATATATAAAGTTACAAAATAGAAACATATAGATAATAACTGACAAATGATTGATACGAGCACAAAATAAGAATACTATCAAAACTAGAAAGTTATATTTATTGGACATAATTGTCGAAGTTGATCTTGTAGATTAGCTGCCGATTGACGTGTACATGGATCTTGACACCAATATAAATCAAGTAGATCGAAAAATGATATAAGAATCTAGACAAAAAAAGCAACAACAACAATATTTCTTTTTCATGTACATTTTTTTTTTTATTACTTTATCTGATGTATTTATACAACATATTGGACGTTTTTGTTCAATAGAAACAAGTTGAATAAGATGATCCAGATTAAAATTAATTGGTAATTGATTTTCATAAGGTCTTATATGTGTTAATGAACAATAACAATTTCCTATTTCCCAAAGAACAAGTGCTAACGAATACATATCACCTTGTTGATAGGCATTTATACGATCATAATTAAATTTACTATTTCTATCAAGTAATTCAGGTGGCATATAAAGTTTTGTTCCAACACGATGATAAAGACGTTCAATACCACCACCTTGTATAGCTTGTGTATGACTAAAACAAAAGCAAATTTTTTTTCTTATTGTTTTAATCATATATTTTTTTTTTAAAAAGTGCTACATACGGATCACATCGAACAGCTAAACTAAAATCTGATAAACAACAATCACCATTATGTTTAACTAATATATTTGAACTTTTTATATCACAATGTGCCATTTTTGGTTTACAAATATCTAAATAAAAATTAATATTTAAGGTAAATTATCATAGAAAAAACAAAAACATTTTATTATGATCTATTGAAGTAGAAAAGTATTTATGGAAAGACACGATTTTTCGTATTCGATTCGATGAGTCATACTCTAAATGTAACAGTCAATTATGACTTGATTATTATAATATCTTCTGAATCTCTTGAAGATTCATTCTAAAAACTTTCGTTGCAATATAACGAGTATGTAGTTGTTCGGAAATAACGTAATTAAGTCTTGCACTATTTGAAATATCCTTTTCTAGTAATCAAAATCGTACTGTAACTCTTAGAGAAAACAGTGTACTTTAAAACTACGTCAAAGTTTAATAATTTAATCCAAATTTCACATTCTAAATATTTTGATTATAAGCCATTTTCGACCCGCGCATACCTTCAAAAAGAACTCCATGTACATCGGAAAAGAAGCTTGTTAGAGCAGCCTCTTTGGAGCTGAAATATGGAACTTACATGTGTTCTTTAGTCTCATTATACTAATACAAAATACGTAAAGTAAAACATCTCTAACAAACTATAACTGTCGTCCAAAGCTAAGTCTTAATTATTTCTGTATCTGAAACAGAAACTTTTTCTTTGCCTTGTTACTTTTAAGTACGCTGTTTTTTCCTAGTTGTAATCTTAGGAAGAATATGCTAGAACAGTTTCGTACCAGTTCAAAACCATCTAGATATCCATCGGTTCTTTTTAAGACGAAAAAAGAGATTGCTGATCATTTCCTTAGAATAAAATTTTTTACCAAGTCATTTTATTTTGATAGTTGAAGAATTATAATAAGAGCATATCCATCTGAAACATGCCACTTTATACACGAAGTTCGGCGCCAGCGACGGGACCTAGTCTATCTTGTAGAGAATTTTTTTCTGATTAAAACGTACGTGGTGAAAAACTCGGAAGTGATGCGCGACTTGAGATAGAGTCAAAATACTTTTATGCTGATAGTGGTAAGCTGCTTCCAGAACAAAAATTTTGATCCCTTATATTTTTACATGGTTGGATAGAGCTNTCTTTCTTCATACCTAATTTTTTTAAAAGATACCGGAAATGTCGGTTGTTCAAAATTAATCTCAGGTTAACAGGTTACGATATGGACAACCTGTAACCTGACCTGTAAAAATTTCATAACCTGGCCCTGCCCTGCCCTGCTATTTTCGCAGCCTGCCCTGTCCTGCCCTGTCAGGGCAGGGCAGGGCAGGGCAGGTTACCTGCATCCTGCAGGGCTCTACCCGCACCCGCATCCACGGTCATTATTTTTTTACACAAGCTTTAGTTTCATTCTCATCTCATTAAATGAGTTAATAGACATTTCGAATTGAAGTACTTTCAATTTGATTAAATCATATCGAATAATTTGTTCTAGTTTATGTCTATCGGTATATAAGTTCATTATACGGAATATTAATCGATAAAGACTGAACATATGTTGAAAAAATTGATTATTCTATGTTCTGGTACGCTGTAAAATGTTACATTCAATGAAATGATAGATGTTAAAAATGTTGATAGTTCATGATCGGTAGATTGCATTGCTGTCGTTGGTATAGTCAATTGTTTCTAATATGGTGTATTTTTGATTAAGTGAGTTATGTCTTGGAAAAAGTGAAAACAATGACCTTCGATTAAGAGATGTTGAAACAGTTATTGATACAGGGAAAGCGTTCATATTTATTTTACAATAAACCAATTTGGATAAATTCCAAATAATATTCACTAGAGATCGAGATCGTACGTCAATGTCTTTCTTTGTACAATTATCATTGTTTAAAATTACAGTTAAATGAGTTAGTTCAATCGATATATTATGTAATTCAAATAGAATTTTATCTTGCACATGTTGACATGAATTGCAATCTAATATAAGAGATTGTAATCGAGTAAATTGTTGAAATTTAAAACCATGAGCTAGAAAACGATCGATTTCATACGGAATATTGTTATTGTTGGATAGACGAATTGAAATGATTTGATCGATTATTGAGAGCAAATATTGTTGACAGACATTATCAAAATCAATGTCAGATACGGATCGAAAATCAAAAGTATGAATTCGTAAGTAGTAGAAGAGTAGATTGTTCAAGCAAATATTTAGATTGTGAAATGCTTGAAGAATATAAACAGGTTTTATATATTCGAATAGATCAATTATGATCTTGTTAGCCAATGATTCCAATAGCATTTTTATTACAACTTTAAACAAAGATTATAGAAGAACAAATAAGAGAAAATGAAGATATTGTCGTGTTTACACTCTAAAATCAAACTGTATCGATAAAGACAAATTGATGAGAAACATTTGCTTTTATTTTGTATTTCATTATAAGATGACAATGAATTCAATTCATTGTTCAACATTATTAATTGTTATCTTTTAGCCGCCAATGAAAACCAATATCAATAGTAGATGATGTCATTGTTAACATGAAAAGTAGGATATTTATCAACCTAAGAGTTTCACTCATTGTGAAGAATGACGAGTTATACAAGCAAAGACAAAATTTTGAGCTCACTTAAAATAAAATATTTGTTGCGGAAAAGATGCTTTCTTCCTCGTGTATTCAATTTTGAGAACATAAACCACTGATATTGTCCAAAGTCATGCTTCATTTTTCTTTTGACTTAAAAACATCTTTTCATCTTACTCAAACCATCCGAAATTTTACCTTATTGCACGTGAATTTTTTATCTCTACACTTTTATTCAATTTTTTTTATATTCAAAACTATCGAAATAAGCAGGTTTGATTGCTGATTATATTCTGAATAAACCAGTCAGTTAGAAAGGTAGGATTAATCCAATAAGCTATATATTTCACATCTTGTCTTTGAGCAATCTCTAATCTTTTGAATTGTTGTTGTCAGTAAAAGTTTTTCACAGGTTTCTCCATATTACTTTTTGACTGTACCATCTATAGACGAAATCTAATGGCAAAAAATCGTTGAACTAGTAGACGAAGCGAAAGGTGTTATGTATGTGAATAAGTTATAGAACTTGAGTGAAAATTAAAATGAAGAATTATAAATAATTTAGCTGTTTTTTGTTCCCAAGAATCTTATCAATTTTTGTTCATAATCCTATCTCCAATCTTAGTAGTTCCTGTGCAGATATTTTTTGCCATTGATAATGTAGGGTTTTGCAAGAACTCACTCTCAGTCGTGCGTAGAATCTTGACAGACACATCAGACAGAATATTGTCAGAATAGTAGCAAATTCCTCCTCAAGATCTAAACAAAATCTTCTTATTAGGACTCTGTCAGAGTCAATAGCTACATCGAACAAGGATCTAACTAAGAAAACAACGAGATCAATTAGAATTCTAAAGTGATTAATCCTATCAATCTTCAATTAGGATTGCGAAAGGCTACTGTTTACTGTACTCAACCTTGATCATTTATCGAGAAAGTTTCGAAGAATTTTGTTCAGACTTGTTTTTTGAATTGATGATTCAGGATCCTACAGGGAGTTACTGTCAATTCTGACTGAAATAATAGAAAAGATTCGATCCAAATTTTGTCAAAATCTTTCCTAAATTTCGATACGAAGTTTCTGAGCAAATTTTAGTTAAATCAGTGAAAGATCTAAACAAGTATAATAGGCAATTAGTCAAAATGTTAAACAAAAAAAATTCTGTCAAGTTTCAGTAAGAATTTTGTTAGGAATTTTTTAGAATGCAGACTTGGGTGAGAGTCTCGATGTATAATTTTTGAAATCAGATATCCTATTTGCGACATGGACGTTTTATTTAAAAATTATATGCGCGAATCTGAATGATATCTATATCGAATTTCGTAAATGAATAACATTTTATAAATTAAGTTTTAGGCATAATATTCAACCTAAAAGTTTAGCATCATAGAAACATGTTGCAGTTTATTCATAATCAATCATTAATTAAAAAAGGACAACAAAATTATGTGGTTAGAGAGGTTCGATCTCTTCGATTATTTTCAAGCATGTGAGTACTGCTTTTGTCCAACATATCGAATAATTTTTGTTAGCTTATTTCCAAAGTCACTGTAATCAATTGGTTCTTCGTATATAAGAGTTGTTAAATTTGGAAATAATAATGCTATGGATTTTGTTCTATAAGTAATATCGAGTGGAATTATATAGTCGCCACTTAAACTATCCCAATGAAAAACTTCAACTAGTAATAAGCCTTTATATTTTAATGATTGCTCTATTCTTTTTAGGTAACTAGTTTGATTTATTATTGAAAAATACATACATATAATTAAATCCCATTGTTCAACGTCAAAGTGAAACTCTTCAATTGTTGTTACATGTGCTTGTAAAATAGTCAAATTGAGATGTTTTGCCTGATTTTTAGCTATTTGTACACCTTCAATAGATGAATCAAATCCTGTTACTTTGTAGCCTTTTTGTGCAAGCCAGATTGAATTTCGTCCTTGTCCCATAGCAATATATAATACTTGAAAGTCATGGAATGATGGTTTGTATTTTTCTATAAAATTTTTCAGAAACTTATTTTCCTTTTGATTAAAATTTGATAAAGTGTTCGATTCCATGTAATAAGTACTCCACGATGCTGGTGATGAATAATGTTCTTGTTGTTGTGGGGTTTTCAACAGCCAAACTGTTTCATTCATATTACTTATTCCAAATGTTTTGAGTTTGTTGTATATATTTAATTGACCTTTATCGTGTTCTATCGATTTATAATGAATATAGGTACCAAATGTTGAATGAGTAATGGAAATGTTCATCTAGGACATGCTAATCAGAAAAACATTTCAATAATATCTTTTCGATTGATTCCATTCTTTTTATTTTTTTTCTTGTTGTCTATCCATTGATGTAAGATCTAATTTAACAATTTTTGATTAATAGAGCATTCAATTGTTGACATCTAAAACAATATGTAGAGAATTCTTTTGTTGAGAATTATTTGAATTTAACTGAATACAGTTAGTGTTTTTTTTTGGATATCAGCACATTGTTTGTGCATCGTGTGTTATCTTTGTGATCAACTTTCTTCTAGCATAGATCAATATCATTCAATCTACTAACTTGGTTTTTTCTATGTAAGAATATTTTAGCACAAATATTTCAATGAACTTTTCAAACTTAACCAAATCGTTGTAGATAGTTTGAACAGAGTGTCAACCATGTGCATTTCGGCTTTGTATGATCATATAGGATAGTGTTCGGCAACGATTTGATTCGTATTTCATTTTCTAAAAGAAGACAGTATACCATTGTTGATGTGAGAAATATATTCGTCTCAGAAAGCATAAAGATTTAAAATTAATTGCCCCTTAAATTCCATAAAACTACTTTGAATTCATTTCCAATGTTGGTCTATAATTTCTGTTTTGCCACATTCGACATCTAATGCTATGCCATACTTAAGGATCTCTGATGGACTTCTCATCGCTCCAAAAGGGTGTGGGGTATGGGTGTGGGTGGGTGTGGGTGTGGGTGTGGGTGTGTGTGTGTGTGGGGTGTGGGTGTGGGTGTGGGGTGTGGGTGTGGCTGTGGCTGTGGGTGTGGGTGTGGGTGTGGATGTGGGTGTGACTATGGGTGTGGGTGTTGTAGAATAGTCGATCTACACCCACACCCCCACCCACACACCCACACTCACATCCACACCGAGACCCACACCCACCCACACTCACATTCCATGCCACACCCACACCCTACTGTAATTCAAAATGTGTTTCACATTGAAGAACGATATCCTAATGAATAAATTGTTCAGTTAACACAAAAGAACTAGCAAACAACACTTCATGTCGAACTTTTCCACCAAGATTCAAAACTGATTGATATTTATATGGTGTAGATTTAGAAATCCAGTGGAAAAATTTAGAAATTGTGGTAGGTGGTCGGCATTTAAAAGTCAGATTGGCAGAGATGCCAAGCTTTATGAAATAGAAAATTCACATTCTCGAAAAGTGTTTTGTTTTAAGAGCATAAAGTATTCGATGTATCAAGGCTCTAAATTACGAACATAATATTTAATTAATCACAACAGATAGCAAAATGAGCACAATCAGCACTAAAAAACGAAATAACTGAAAGTATGCAGGTTCATTTTTAAGAAATAACACAAGTGCTCGATGACGGTGTTGTATAATTATAATTATAATTATTTTCATCATCATCATCATCATCATTGTCATCGTCATCGTCGTCTGGACTAAACCGTCTTTGTAGTCTTGCCATTGGTTCATAATAATTTCTCTGTATCCAAATTGGTTCATACGCCATAATTTTTTTCACTTGACGCGATCGACCACCGATAATAATTGATTGAACAACCACTAATCGATTTTTAACTTGACCAATTTCATAAAATTGATTGTTCGTCGTAGGGCATAATTCTGGTGCTTCGAAAAAGACTTTATTTTCTAATTCATCTGGCGAAAGTGTTAAAGCCAGTAAATAAATCAAACGATCTTCATAATCCGACATATTAGCCCAATTTGAATAGTTTCGATATCGATTAATGTCGTTATCATTGTAATCAATAACGGTACATATACAATCTAAATAATACATTATTTTGGCAATATCAGCATTTGGCACAGTCACTGTAGTGCCAAACATTTTGAAATTATACTCATCAGTTCCAAACACGGCCATAGTTTTTCTTTCAACAAAGTCGATAAATATTGTTCTATGAAATTGTCTACATAACTGTTCATATATATATGCTTTCCATCATGTAGAATTTCCGACGTCACTTCCTCGGAAGAAGAGAAAGAAAAATAATCGAAACTTCAGGATAAACAATTATTTTGCAATTTAATACATTAGTCACTCTTCGTACACACTACTGAAAGAGTTTCTTCCTACTCCCATGTTTCGTTCTTAGTGAGTAGATAAGAGGGTTGCACTTTCTTTCAACGGGTCTGTATCACTTTGCCGACAAATTGTTTCGCCGACACGTACTTTTTGCCGACATGTACACTTTGTCGACAACTTGTTTTACAGACAAAATTTGTTAATATTAATAAAAACTGATTCATTTTTTTTAGAAAATTCTTTATTTTCTTGAGCTTTTTAAATTCTTTTAATCAAAATTACAAATACTCAAAGTGAAAGATTATGGGCAATGCCCCGAAGAAAATCCATAGTTGATCTATTA